GAAAATAAGATCTTTACAGCGTTTGTTGACCTGGTTCCTGTTGTCCACACTTCAGCAGATGATCTTTTTAATGCAATCAAAGATTGCCTTGCCACAATTAAACTTGATTTAGTGAATTGTGTTGGCTATGCTAGTGACGGTGCTTCAGTGATGGTTGGGGAACACAATTCGCTGTGGACAAGAATAGCTGCTGTCGCTCCTCATTGCATCAAGATGACGTGTATTTGCCATTCGTTGTCCCTTTGTGTTCAGCATGCATTTGAGAAACTTCCGTCGAGTGTAGGATTTCTTCTGGCAGAAATTCCGAAATGGTTTTCAAAGAGCGCTATTAGAAGAGAAGCATACAAGACGCTCTACGAAGTGATGAATCCAGATGATGTGCAAGATGCACCGTTTGAGAAGTACTCAACTACGAGGTGGCTTGTGAGAGGAAAAGTAATATTTCGCATTCTCACAAATTGGTTTGAGCTGCAAGCTTACTTCGGAACAGCACAACCACAGACGACGCAGGCAGCAAGATTCAAGGCTCGTATTCTTCTGGACATGCTCAATGATCCATTCCTATATCTTTATTTCCATTTCGTTTCTCCTCTGGTCACAGAATTCGACAGGGTAAATGCCTTCTTCTAGGCAACTGATGGTGATCCAGAAGAAATGTTCACGGAACTAAATGTACACCATAAAAGTTTATATGGTAGAGTTTTCGACCACCAAGGAAAATATCTAGCCATTTATGAAGTTGACTTTGGTGGAACGTTCTTGTCAGAAGCAAAGAAATACATTTCTTCCCAACAAGACAAACGACGTGCTAAAGCTGAAGTTTCTGAAGTGAAAAATAGGTGTCTATAATTTCATGTGGAAGCTGTAAATCAAGTAGAGAAACGTTTACCAGCTGTCCGGAATATCTTTAAAGGTTTAAGCGCCCTGCATCCAAGCAAAGTTCTTGATGTAACAACGAGAGCCGATTTTGAGCAACTTCCGCTTCCTAATCTACGAAAGGATCAAGATTATGCAATTGAGGAGCAGTACAGGAAGAATCGTCCACCGAAATTGGAAAGAGGAACAAATTTTTAACGGCATCATACCTGATACAGCAGTTGCATTTTGGTCAAAGATAGTTCAGTTCCAAACTTCTCTTGGGGTCAAACCATTCAAGGAATTGGCAACTTACGCCTTAAGCTGCCTGACAAATCCTTTAAGCAATGCAGTGGTTGAAAGAACCTTTTCCTTGGTGACATCAGTAAGACCAAACAACGCAATAGGATGAGCTTAGAACTGCTAAATGCCATTATTCGTATTCGTTCCAGCCTACACATTGCCGAGAACTGCTGCATTAACTTTAAGGTAACTAAGCGAATGCTTGAGCTGTTTGCCACTAAACACATGTATGAATGTGAGTAGAATAAACATTATAAGAACTATGCATAAATATTTATGTAAATCTGTATATATGGAGAGCAGTAAAAATGACAACTATGCACGTCGAGATCTTATAGAAAGACAGATAAAATAGTTTATTCACTTTGTATTTTTGACATGGCCTTTTTAAGCTTGTAATGCTTATCAAGAAATTTTGGACGTGTAGTTCATTTTTCTCTTCATTTCGTCAACAAGCACCTTATATTTTGCAACAGCGAATAAATTTTCAGTCTTACGTTCTGTATTCACCTCTTCCCATATGTCCTTTGATGTGAACATTAGGCGTTGGCATCGCTAGATTTGCAATGTATGGTATATATTTATGATAAATCCATATAGACTATAAGAAGCAATTAGAAAAACTTATTAAAACCGCATGCCATAAACAGTGTGGGCTCAGAAAACAAGTTTGGCCTCTTTTGTTGCCATTTGGCCACTTTTCAAACCATATTTGGCTACAAACGAGCGCTGGAGCCTAACAACCCTGGTTTGCTCATAATTCCCGACACTCGCTGAGTTACATCATTTGGCAGGAAGACGTTTTACAACGAAGACAAATTTAAAAAGTAAGTTTTATCAATAAATATCGACTTAAGAAGAATTATAGGATATACAAAATACTCTAGTTAACTTTAGAGACATAGTAAAAATATGAAATGCTCATGGTTTAGAATAAGTCTTTCTTATTTCCTCCGCCAAGTGTTGATTCGTTTTTTAGTTTGATATGACAAAACAGACGATACATGAACAATTTTATTCATATGGCTTTGAATTGCTCATTTGACATGTATTGCATTCCCATAATTTTCTTAAGACGAACATCGTCCATTAAAAAAGGGCATTTTCACGACTTTAAACCGCCATAAAAATGGAATAATTTGATGAAATCAAAACCTTTTTTACTGATACGCTAGAAATCGCACTTAAATTTAATATCGCCAATGATATATGGCCATTGAGTTCTATAAGACCTGGAGGGGAAACGTCAACAAAATTACTATAAATTATTAGTGCACGGGTGGTCAAAAACATGGCGGATTTTGGTTGTCAAAGTCAGCGGAAAGACGCGGGCTCATAAAATAAAATTTTTTTCGCCTACCCGGATTTGACAACCACAATTGCGATTATATAAAATGTCAATGCCAAGCACAAAAACTTTTATCAATAAGAAAAGTGTTATGTCAGAGAAACCAATGCACTTTAATTTAAGAAATCGTCTTTTCAATGGGAAAGTAATGTAGTTCTGTTCAGTAGTAGATCCATGGTTTTCAACGACTATCCAGTTTCTAATATCTTGGCTCAAAACAGAACCAGCAACATGATTATAGAATTTCTGAATTTCGTTCTTTTGCTCTCTTAGTTCAAGGTATTTTCCTCATAAGTTCTTAGTAGATTTATCAGAATATCATAATACTTAAGACAACCAGAATCAATCCTGCCAAAAAAAACTCAAAAAAATTACATACCTACTTATAATTTATTTCCAGTCGACTTAAGTCATAGGGGTAAGCTAACTTTTTCTAACTCCTTTTTGGACATTTTAACTAAGATTTACCCATCTATTCAAGAAAGACAGTTTGACCAAGCTATTCACAAACAGTCCAAAACACAAGTATTGCGCATGGGATTATGCATTAAAGCTTAACAACACATTGACAGTGTAAAGAATGCCATTTGATATTTCTAATATAGCTAAAGCATTACTTGACAAAATATACGTTATTTTCCTGTAGATTTTCCTCATTTAAATTGGTGAGTCTATTTCACAAAAACCTGAAGCATTATTTTCAATATTTATGCTTACGGTATCGTGGTGGTTTTCGCTGGTTGTCATTAATATAAGCAGTAAAAAAAATCCGAGTTCCGGAGGGAACGAATGTTAAAAATTTTTCTCAAAGTGGAAGTTTTGACAACCAAAATCCGCCATTACCACCATGTTTTTTACCACGGGGTCCAGGCCCCTTTTCCCCTCCAGGTCTTATAGAACTCAATGTATATGGCCCGTAGATGTAAAATTTGTTTATGTAGCACATAAAAATCGTAAAATCACATGTAAGCCACTGTCAAACATGAATAGCCAGGCGTTGTGTATAGTATGATGTCGTTTTATACACAAACAAGAAAAATACAATTATTTCTCAATTGATATAAATTATTTGAAAGAATGCAAACAATTCATTTTCTTTAAAGCTGTAAAACTACATGTGTGGTGTCTCAAACATGATGAGTATTGTATAGGGCCATTTGTGCTAAAGACGAGAGGCATAAAAAACCAATTAAAGAAAACGGGGCTGTTTAATTGAGTCCACTTCTAAAAGTGTTTTTTTTTTCATTTAAATTTTTTTTCACTTTTTTTGGTTACATATGGTTACGAATGAATTGGTTACATACAAACCTATTTATGTAACCAATTCATACAAATGAATTGGTTACATACAAACCTATTTTCAGAAAATGAGACAACATTGGGCAGGTGGCTTAAGATTTATACGAAACGTTCACTTGCACTGGCATGATAAACCTAGTCCACGCCTATCACCATATGTGAAGCAAGGTAGCTATAAAGAGTATTTCCCAGAGTTTCCTCTTCTGGTGCACAAAGTCATAAGGTCGACTGACTGCAAAACAAGACCTGATCTCAAAAAACATTTCATGAGTAAGTAAAGCATTCGAAATTATTTTAGTGTATACGAATTACGTAGCTATATATAGAGTTCAATTTACGATTTACAATGTTGAAACTTTGATAGTAATTTTCACTCTACTTGTTTGCCTAAATTATAAAATATATGTGTATTTATATCGCTTGATTTTAAGCAATTACTCTAGCAAATATTTCTAGATACCATACATTATGTGGAAAACAAAGTAGTTGATGGAAAGACACGTAAATTAAATACCTGCATAATTATATATTCTTACTCTGCTGCTGAGTACGATTCCACAACGTACCTATGTTATATAGCTCCATGATCATATTTACAGTTGTAAGGTTTTACTTTGCATTGTCATTAGAAAACATCAATTGCATTAGCTAAATGTTTGTTTCACGATCTATGCGCAAATATATGATGATTTTCTGTCATATTTTTATCAAAAGATGTTAAAAGTCCGAATGATACAACTATCCTATAATTCAAATTCGAAATGGCACTGTATATTCCTGTTTAAAAAAACCTGGCATGTTCTTTACTGAGGTGAAAGAGTTTATGTGTTTTACGCTATCTTTTATTTGTTTTAGAGTCAAGTTCATTTTCGTATACCTGTCTTGAAGAACAAAGAAGCAGTGCATCAACATTCAAAGGTATATCTAATGTGCTGGGATTTTTTATAAGTGAGAAAATCACAAATTGAAATAATAATAATAATATATGTATAAGCAGTGCTGAGGATTGTAGCTAAGAATTCTCGAAATATTTTCATGAGTGAATAATGATAACTTTAACCTTTTAGTTGAAGAAAAGAGAAAAATTATTCTTCTGAGTGCCAAGTCAACTTCAAAAATTGGTAAATTTGATATTTTTTGTTTGGGAGATTCAAAGTCCAGTGACATTGTTTCGTGTTAAATTTTCTAGATGAAACTTCCAGTGGCAGCAAAGAAAAAATTCTGAATTCAATTACTTCTCGTAGTTTCAAGTCATCTTCAAAAACTGGTAAATTTGATATTTTTGTTTTAGGAGATTCTAAGTCCAGTGACATTCATTTTGTGTAATATTTTGTAGATGAACCTTCCACTCCCAACACAGTCGAATTTAAAGAACGTTTTCTTACAAAGGATCACAAAATTAAAGATAGCGTCCATGAAAATTTGAAAAGGTAAATGTTTTTTATCGCTTTTACGTCAATTTTGACTTATTTGACACGAGGAAAAGGCATCGAATATCTTCACTTTTCCACATTTGCAGTTTTCCTTGGCTTTGTGGCAAGTATGGTACATCACGTCCTACTGATGAGATGAATTATCGTCACATGTATCTTGAAGTTGACGAATCAAAGACTGAGGATGTTTTAAAGCAAGAAATCGATGGCAAATTTGAATGGAAAGCTTCAGATTACATCGAATTACGTTATGTTGACCCACGTAAGAAAATAGAAATCCAACAGCTATCCAACAATGTTATGGTAAGTCGAGAGGATGAGCCCAATAGATCAATGTATGGCGCGTTGACTTTGTTCTGCTGTAAGATGAACAGCATTACGCGTTGACTTGCGCTCATGTTGGTTACTTAAAAAGTATTCCCAAAGGGCAAAAGCGTGATTTATACCTGAAACTTTTCGTGACTTATACTGAAACTTTTTAAATATTCAACTTAGTTTGGAGTAAGTAAATCAGTTTTTATAAAGTACTGCTTCAAGGTAAATGAAGTATCCAGTTGCACAAAATGTAGGAAAAGAAATTGAATTTCGGTAAAACGCCTTCCATCATGTCTTCCTATGATAAGTTTATTTGTGCTTGGTTTCATTGGCTTTCATAAAACCCGAGTTTGTGTGGCATTGTTTGAATTTTCAATGAGTTTTGCATGCAAAATCATATTGCAAGTTGGGAGTGAAATCATTCAAAGAAAATAGCTTTTGGCATGTAAGAGGAAACGAAAACTTCACTCACCTGGCGAGATATATTTTTCTTGAGCAACATAAACAACTGCAGCAACACATTGTTGACATATACCATGCTCAAATCGAGCAGGATTTTCACACATTCAAACAGGTAGAACCAATCTCTTGTAATCCTAGAGAAGCATAGTTATTGATATAGATTTATACATTATATTTGCTTATTTGATTGTTCAAATTGGACAGTATATGGTTGAATTTTCAACTTTTGTATTGGATATACTGCCTGCACGTATATAAATGCTGATTACCTGTTATTATTGCAAAAATTTTTTCGTTAGGCTGATTAAAAGAGGACGGAGGACTAGCAAATTAAGTGTCAAGGGAAAATTTAAAAGTGGTTGGTTTACCTTTGGAGAAGCAATACATATATTCAAAAGCGGTAGATATTCTGACTATAGTTCATAAACTCAACCTTCTACGGAACATTCAGAATCTTGGACTACGTTTGGAAAGCCCATGTCACTACCAAATGCACCTAAGAGTTAGAGGCAATAAAATTGATTTTGAAAACTCTCTTAAAGACACTGCTTCTGTTATTTCTGACCTCGTTTATTAAAAACAAGTCTATAGCCAAAAAGCAATCCCCAAAGACGTGATCTTATTTTGCACCGTAGTTGTATAGACAACCTAAATGCAAGCCCCAAATTCGTCAAATCAAAAGATATTTTCTATTAAGTACAGATGGCAGTAGCTACAAATCAATATACCTGTTTTGATTCATATTCAAACCATATGCAAAGTACAAAAAATGACCCAATTTCGGGCTCGTGTTGACTTCAAACTTCCATCGAGAGAAATCGGAGACTTTTTCATTTCTAAATAAAAAACAAGGTTTGTGAATATTCTATGAAATTTACTGATTATTTGTTTTTCTATTTAAAGTTTTACCTTGATAGCTTATTCACGGGTTTCCTTACTGCAATAATTTTAAGCTGATTGGTCTCACCGTTTTTAAAAGGTCCTTTGTTTTGTTCTAACCACAAGAAGTGAAGCAGATGGTCATTTCACTCTCCAAGTCTAAGTATCAACTTTCTTGTTGAGCTGATTTAAACTCATAAACTAAAAAATATCAATCTCACATTTTAGCTTTATGTACCTCTTTTTTGTCATCTAGTTTGGGGACAAAACATTGAAGTTTTTTTATCATTTGGCAAAAAGCAACCCATTGATTTATTCACAGGAATTTCAATGCTCTCGTTGTTGTAATTTGCAGACTTATTTCGAAGAACAGGATTTGTCTTTTGATGATTTATAAAACTGTTTCGTTTCGAGGGTGCAGATTTTTGTCTTGAATCTGTCAACTCAACTTTGTATTTTGAGATTTCTTTTCTAGAAACGTCATAGCCACCGTCCACCAAAGCTTTCCAAATATATCTCACATGGACACTGTCCTCGTCTGATTTACGCTTGGTATTTTTTTTCCTTGAATAAATGGTGTTGCTTGAATTTGACGGTTGCATTGTGCACTTTTTTTTGTAACATTTCTAAGTAATTAGTATTTTGTCGATCTAAGTTTGAATAACGATCATGTTCAATATGTTCTTCTTTGAACTTGGAGTAGTAAGAGTCATCTTTGTTTTCTTCTGTTGAATTAATAAGTGACATGTTTGTTACTCTGCATTTAGTGTTCTTTCGTGAAGCACGATTCTCCAGCAAACTAAAGTCATTTTTTGTCGAAGAGTAGCACGTTCTTGAAGAAACTGATAACTTTTTAATGATTAGATATTTATAAACATCATCGTCGATTTTTACGCTATCACTGGAAGATAATTCTACATTACAGTGAGTTGATTTTAGATGATTGTCCTTATCATCATGTGAGCTATTAACATTATGAATATCTGCATCGTACATTCTATCTAAAGGATCTGTGTTACATGATTTCCTTTTATCTAAATCCCTTTCACCTTTAGAAAGTTGACCAGTCCAAACATCAACACCAGCTGCCTGTTTGGAAGCATTAGAATCATGAATATCGATAACATTGTCATTTGCTTCTTCATTTACAGAAATGATTCGTTGATTTTGTGCAAAGTCATTTCTATCATGCCCTTTTACACCATCACCATGATCTAGTTAAATTGTCTCAAATTGTTCTGCCAGCGACTGCCTACGAAGATCAACGGTCAAGATGTTTTGAGAGATCCGTTGGCTGGCCTAAGAAAACCTTGTTACATCCGGACTTTGGACGTTTTCACAAACTTGCAAACCATAGAAAGAGTTCTTAAAGCAATCTAGAAGTGAATAGCACAAAAAATCCAAGCTAAACAAAATGATGATAAAACATTGCGACATTTCATTTGTAGAAATATCTGCTCATCTCAATATATAGAGATGCTAATAAAAAATTGCTTAGCTCTCCAAAAAGGCCCTCGATAAGATTTTTCAAGAAAAGCGTAATCCTCAATTTGGGAATTTACATTTTGGATGCCTAGCCATTTGGCAACGCTAGGCTTAGAAAGAAATCTTGCCTGGAAAAAGAGAGTCTTCAGTGGTCCATTTTTTCTCAAACTATTTTGTCGAGATACGGGACGATCTTGTGGTGGTTTATCCGGGAAAAGACTACGAACATATTCTATTGCTAATCTTGTTTTCAACTTGCAATGGCTGTTGGGGCTGGTTGTCTTAAGAAAACAAAACAGAAATGTTAATTTGTAATTAGCAATCGGGTTTGTCGTTTGTTTTTAACTTTTCTTTGTACACTACACTTAAATGTGTAATCAATCATCGATCATCAATAATCAATCATTGATCATCGTTTTCTGAGACAAACCGTGATCGACCTGTAATTCTTAATACTGAAGAGTATCGTAGTGTAAATGAAATACATGCTCAAATTTTTAGTCATATGTTTGATTGGTCGTACATTTTTTCGTGAGTGCTTTAGTTTAACATTAAATGGAAGATCACCTGAACCAGTTTTTGTCACCAATTGTGTTTTTGATGGCTCAGCTATGACCCTCTCTTTTCTTGCGTCAATGCAAAGGTATTTACTAGGTTGCTGGAAAGAAGTAGAAAATTATTCTTTGATATATGTTTTCTAAAAACTTCACGAGCATATAGTCAAATCTATTTTATAACATTAGAACAAAGTAAATACTTTACAGTGCCAGACTGCGAGTTTCAGTTTGGTGGAAAAGCAGCTGATAAAATTAAGTGACATACGCTTTGTTGTTAATGATAAGTTAAAAAAGATTTCATACAGCAATAGAATCAAGTTGCCAGCAATACCTGATAATGAAATGAACTTTACAAATAACGTTTGTATTCATCGTTCATTTCATACTTTGATACTTCCATAATCATTTGTTACAATAAGTTGGTATAAAAATGAATGCATCAAAATTCTTTATTTTTTACGGAAATTCACTGTCCATTTTTATTTCCTTTTCATAAACACAAATATGCTAGTAATAAAATAACACAGAGGTTTTTAGTTTCGTTGGTACACTCAACTAAGTTGATATTTTGCTTTCCAAAGAAACGAAAGAGCTTCTCGATCCGTTCGTAGCGAGTAGAATGAGACTTATTTATTAAACTCAGGATTTGAACAAAGTTATTTTCCAGAATGCAGGCTATGTTTAAGGTTTTAGCAAGTTTGTAGATTCCGGAGACTCTGTAGCATATTCATAAAAAACTGAAAGAAGTCACGGTTCATTCCTATCTCGAAATACGTTTTTGTAAACAAAATTAAAATCGACTAAAACAGAACATCTCTCCTTGTACCTAGTGCATGGTATTTCATCTGTCGTTATATTTTATAACTGTTTGGGACTCTTCCAATTCATTGACTTGTTATCAATCAGGATCATGGGATTGAGACGAAAATCTTCTCGACCATAATTAAAGATAAGTTAGGTGAGCCAGCTGGTAAAGGCCGTTGAGTCTTCAGTGGTCTGGGGACAAGTAAGAGGATTACATGAATCTTAATTTTTTTAAATGGAAACATCGCTTTTAAATGTTGGTTAAATGTTGGCAATAATATAAATAAATATTTACGAAATGAACTTACATAAAAATAGTTTTATAACCATTAAGCTAGTTAAGTAAAGGAGAAATACATTTTTATAGGTTTTATTATCTGTGGATTTTACAATGATTCACAGTTTGTTTATCATCAACCATTCAGGGTAAGTCGGTAGTGACAGTATGTATTGGTTTTATATTTGTTTGCTTTCAAAGCTCTTTTGTTGGTTTTGTACGTAACAGCTTGTGATTATTGTGAGAAGTACTTTACAATTATTTGAATGAGATAAAATGAGATTAGTTTCAGTAAGATATTAAAGGAAAGCTTGAACAATGTCAGAAGCATGTGAAGGTAGATTATGAGAAGTATCATGTGACAGGATTAATACCCAGAAGAAATAAAGAATGTCATAAAAATCGTGAGATATTACCTGATATCTGTA